TTCTTGATAGTGACCCGGTTCAACTACCGATAGTCTATACACAATCGAAGAGTCTTGTCCTTCTTCTTGGCAAATAATACTGGAGTGCCCCACAATGAAGTGTTCGGCCTAATAAAGTCCTTGTCCAATAATTCTTGTAATTGGACCTTGAGTTCTTATAACTCTGCCGATGTCATTCTATGTGGAGTCATAGAAATGGGTAATATATCGGATGCAACTCGGTGCTAAAGTCTATATCCCTATGTGGAGATAATCCCGATAGTTCATCTGAAAAAATGTTCTCATACTCACACACAACCCGAAATAGACCTAACTCTTGTCTCACCTAGTCCTCCAAAGTAAGGCTCGCAAGTCAATCCATCAACTGCTCGTGTCATTGAAAGTCATACACGGCTTGGGGCAAGACATCGTGATTTTTCCCCTGAAACTTAAAACAAACACCGTCTAGTGTGTAGGTAGTTACCCTATTTCGATCACAATCAATGACGATTCAATGTGCCGCCAACTAGTCTATTCCTAGGATCACATAGAACTCCGACATGTCTATGACCCTAAGGTCCACGGTGAGTAGAACCCCCGAGATCTCTAACTCACAATCCTGACATATCTGGTCAACACATACCTTCGCTCTTAGAGGTGAATTCACATACAACGGCTCTTCCAATGTATCAACCTCTAAACCTAAATCCCTCACACATGATACAGAAATGAATGAAAGTAATGCACCAGAGTTAAATAACACCCTAGCCCATAAGTAAGAGAATATAAGTGTACCCTGAATGACGGACTGATCTACCTGCTCATTTTGAGGTATGATGGCATAGAAACGACCCTAGCTCCCCGAAGTACCAACCTGCATGCCCTATCCTTGGCCTCGACCCATACCCTGGCCCATCTAGCCTGATTGCAGATTCCCTGCTCGTGAAGTAGTAAGGGCTTGAGTAGCACCCTGGAATTGATACTAGTTTCCCTGACCCATGGTGGGGTAGGAAGGAATAAAGTATGTATGTGGCTGCCCCACTGATGACTGGGACTGAGACGCCACATAACTCTGGGATCCCTACCTCTAAAGACAATCCCGCTTTCATGTGCCCCAGTTGGTGGTAATGAAAACATGTCTGTGGGCCTGCCTGACTAGAAGTCCTGAAGTGTCTCTCACCTTGGGAGGATCGACCTTGGCCTTGGTCCTGATAGCCACAGTCCTATCCTTACTGTCCCTGTAGAGTATAAGTCATCTACCTCTTTCCCGAGGTAGAAGAAGAAGATTGATCCTCCTTCTTTTTGTCCTTATCATCGCCTCCCAGATGTTTTGTGCGTCGTCAACCTCTCTCTCAATGGCCATAACTGTCTCGACCATCGAGTCCAAGTCTTGCAGGTGGTGACTCACAATTTTTCCCCAGATGGATAATTTCAAACCATCCTCAAACCTCCTCATTTTGGCCATATCTGTGGCTACGTAATCATCTGCAAAACGGGTTAACTCAGTGAACTTAGTTACGTACTCCATCACCGTCATTGTCCCTTATTTCAAATCTAAGAATTCTCGGGCTTTAGCTTGTCGGACAACCACCAAAAAATACTTGCCCATGAAGAGCTCCTGGAACTCTCCTCATATCATTGTTTCTAAGTTCTTTGAGTCTTTTGTCCAATCCCACCATAAATGGGATTCTCCCTCTAGTTGGAATGCAGCTAGCCTTATCTTTGTGGCATCGGAGGTGCTCATAGCCTCTAAAATCTTGTCGACTTGCCGGAACCAATGGTCGGCTACTATCGGATCTGCCCCTCCCTTAAAAATTGAAGGCTAGTGTGTTTTGAACTTTTGGAGATTACTTGAGCCTCCTTGCCCTATATTTGTACTAGCCTGTGCAATGGTAGGAGCCGTAGTACCAATAGTCTCTATGAAGGCTTGTTGGTCAAAGGTCAGTGGTGGTTGGTTGTTATTCCGCCCACCGCCTTGGCCACGTCCTCTCCCTCTATTTACCATCTATACATATGTCAAATAGCAATAGAGCACTAATTTAGTATCCCAAAGTAGGGACCAAATTTGAAACCTTGAGATTCATCTCCTTGTCTCCCTAGTAGAGCTTATGACAACCACTAGTAGACATTTACACCTTGAACTATCTCGTTCCATTATTTTTCGACCCTTAAAGTTATGTTTTCTAACCCTAGTGTCCCTTTTTCATATACATTTTACCATGTATATAATTCATATAACATATAACACATAACATGTAACACATCAAAGCACATAACATGAGATGCATAATGAATGCAATGGTCTAAACCCATGTCCACTAAGCCCTAGGTAAATCGTATACCTAGGCTCTGATACTAAGCTGTGACGCCCATGTCCACCAAGCCCTAGGTGTTCACCCGACCCTTTTTTTGACCCTGTGGTTGTTTCAGGTTCATCATCGTGAGGATTGTTATCTCAATCCATTGCAGGAAATCTCCCGTTCAATTTACCACCGTCTATGGGAACATACGAACTTTTTCCCGTAAAGTTGTATCATGGTGAACACACGATCCCAAGGTGATAGGGGAGAGAGTTTACACGTGAGAAACGCGAAAGCTACCCGGCTCCCAGCGATCACGGAGTCGAACCCCTTGAGCTAGTCAGGTGGAGGCGAACATGCCTCATAGCAAACGTTTTGCGTTAATCAAGNGTCCTCCATATTAAGTTATAATGTAAAAACTCTTATATTTTAGTGTTTACAATATCATTTTTCAGCTAATTACATAAGAACCCTTGACATTGTAAGGGTCATATAAACCCTCTTTTCTTTTGTGTATTGTAACAAAAATTCCCATTCACAAGTTAAAATTTTTAAAAATTACCTTTTTAAGAGATATTACACATAGCTCTTGGGAATTATTCGTAATGAACATAAACCTTGGAAGGTTTTTTACAAGCTATCATAATAAAAAGACGTAGATTATGATTCAAATCATTTGACAATTTGTTCTAGCTAAATTTATTAGATGCTAAAATATTCTCCAAATATTTATTCGAATAAAAATCAAGAGGGCACAAAAGGAACATTATAAGTTTAGGGATTATTTCCAATTATGTTTGGAAAATAGGACTCAATAATTTTGATACAAACATAATACAACTGAATGGTTTTTAGCTTCCTTTTTTTTTTTTTATCAGGAGAAAAAAAAAAAGGGAAAGGAGTGACTAGTAGGTAGTAACCCCGCGCAAAACTATGAGATTTTTTTTTTCCCGATAAGAAAAATAAAATAGGTTGAGAGATGAAGCAAAGAGAGTGAAAAGAGATGAAGGAGTGGAGGTCCGTGACTACAAGTGAGACGGCCATGGCTTTAATATAAGTTTCATTCTTTAATAAGTCGGAAAGAAGAAAGAGAAATTTAGTGATAAAATCTTATTATGACTCTTTGAGTATAATAGAATGTTGAATCTCGAACCGTAACAAATGTATATATTCAAGTGATATGAGTTCTAGTAAAAAAAATGATATATAAGTTTGAATTTGAAAATTAATATTTTCAAAATAGGTTAAAAAATATTATGTGGAAACTACTAAGATTTGGATCCTCGATTTCCNGTTCTTGCGGATGGAAGAGGAGGGTTGTTTCCCAGATGTCATTTCATTTAACATCATCATTCGAGGTTTTCTCCAAGAAAATGAGATCACCAAAGCAATGCAGTTCTTTAAAGAGATGTGTAATAAAAATTTATTGCCTAATGAAGTAGTCAGTTCGACATTACACCATGTGTTGGTGAATGAACAATTTCAAACAGCCCTTGAGTCACTTCCTAATTCTCTTCAGAAAGATTTGTGATTGTTTCCTCTGAAACTTATATAATGTGGGGTACAACAAGCAATGTTGTAAGTTTTTCATCTTTGGATGGTTGATGCTTTCGACATCTGATCTTCTGTCTACCTAAATCTCATGGAACAAACAGTGATTTCAATTTGATGCACCAGCCAGTGGAGTGTTTGAAGAGTTATGGGACACTGTTATCTGTGGTTTTGTAGAGAAGGCTTACTGGATTTTTGCAAAGAAAAACTGGGTATGCTGCAATGGGTCTGCGTTCATGCCTTGTTCATCTATACTAACTTGTCTAAAGTAATTGGCTGTGGGTATTCTTAGATTGAGTGGTACTTTTACCAGATTGCTATGCTGCACTGTCTTTGTAATTGTGACTGGTTTCTTTTCGCTTTTTGATTCCCTTTTGGATTGCTCCATCTGATAGTTTCTGTAGCCTCTTAAGTTGAATTTTGGCTGTGTTTTCTACCCCCTTATTTGTATATTCATGCAAATAGTAATGATGTGCATCCCAAAACTGCTTTCAAATTTTAGATCCCAAATCAATGTAGATAGTTGAATCATCAGATAAATTTATAAACTTTCTCTAGTACAACCCATTGTTTTTGAGTTTTGGGAAGTTCAACAGTGTTGGCATGCAGATACCATTAACACAGCCTTTTGTTCACCAAAAGTGCCACAAACTTAAAACAATAATGCTATTTGAATTTAATTTATTAACATAATTCATCACAATCATTTAATTAATTGCGGGTTCCAACGGATATTGAGTGGGACCAACTATTAGTAAAATAGATTTAAGTGGCATTGCTCCACTTAAAATATGGGAGAAGGGGGGATGTAGGTGGGGAGGGACAAATACTAGCTGAAAACAAGAACTTAGATTAAAGAGTGTAGCGTACAGCAGTCAATATTGCAATGCATCACTATTTACTAACAGATATAATAATGATTAATCGATTAAATGCAATTTGATCAGCTTTGCTCTTTACATGGGCCTTGTTATAACTAGGGATGAGTGGCAGGTGACCAAAAATATAAAACTGACTAGAAGACATTTGTTGTTAACTTATTTTTTCCATAAAATTCTTACAAAGCAACTGTGAACTGGCAAGAAAATCTTCACATCAAAGTTATCCGTAGGCGAGGACTGGGAAATGGCAACGTCTTAACATGCAGATATGGACATCAGCTAGTGATATTTACTTCCTCTTGCGACCGCGAGACCTACTTGCTAGAACATTCTTTGAAGTACCAATAAGATCCTTCGCAGGCTCGTCCTCACTTTTTTCATCATCATTTCCATAAATCTCAGTTTTTTCGGTAGATTCTTCTTCCAGCAATTTTCCTGAACTTTCCTGTTTTGAAAGCCTGTCTCGAAGCTCTCTAAGTTTTGCCTTTTTTGAATTCGAAACTCCAAGAAACTGGAAGAAGAAAGATGATGTCTTCCCCAAAATCTCGAAACATATGTAACAAAGAATAAGGTCAAGATTATTATACTAATCTTTGAAAACGACAATTAAATCATATATCTGTCTTTTCAAAACCCCTCTCTCTCTCTCTCAACCTCCCCCTTCTTTCAAAAAAAAAAATCTCATAAAGAAACCCATTTTTTCTCACAAAATCCTCTCCATAATCCTATTTTCCTCTTTCACTCTTGGAGAAAAGAAAATAACAACCCAGCAATTACTTATCTCATGAGGATGGTAGGCCATGGTTGTGGTGGCAGATAGGGTGAAACCGGGGAGTAAAGAACATTTTTTTTTAGACAAGTTTACCAAAACAAGAATATTGAGGTGAAAGATAATTTACATGATGGTTATGCACCAAGCACCACTTGCAAAAAATCAACAATGAGAATATTAAAGGCATTGGGTTAGAAGACACGTGCCTTTGCATAGATTGCAGATTCAAATTCTGCCTTCTCGTTGCTGAATCTTTCACTTTGTGCCAAACACTTTTCAGCCTCCACTTTTAGCTTCTCACATGATTGGGCTTTACTTACAACTTCCTCCTATTTACATAAAGTGAAAATTGTCAGCTCATACCCAATTCCAGCATCATATAGCTCAATAAATAGGAAGAAACTTCAAACTGAGTATAGCAACAACAAAAACAGGCACAGGGCAATGCACTACCAAGTTAGGTGCTAAATTATCAAAGCCAGTGATACCATGAACAAATACATGGAGTTCAACCATGGGTACACTGGGTATCACACTAAGAACTACTAAAGTCAATGAGAAGCTACATGCTGGATGCAAGCACTTAATGCCTCATGATATCTTGGGAGTTTCTTTGTTCATTAGCGAATGTGCTTTCTCGAAACTTAGAGTTAGTAGGTAATTTCTTTTCCCAACTACCATTACATTAATGGGGGCATGTTGGAGAGCATTGCATCTAATTTACATTGCTTACGACAACAAAACGATAATTAATAATCTTTCACTTTTTCGGATATTTGCATCCATAAGAAAGTCCAAAATTCCAGCCTTGTTAATTTCCATCGCCTGTCAAGCTTAGTCCCTTCTTTATGAAATGTTCATGATAACTGCAAAACATTGCACCACAAAATAAAAGAAAAAATCAGAACCCAAAAAAAAAAAGGAAAAGAAAATTTACATTTGCTGCTTTGCAATCATCACAATGAACTAAGCTTTGTGACAAATACGTGGAATTTCTACCCTATACAAAACCTATAGGCATACCAATACAAGCATGAAGCCTCAAGTAGTCGATTGAGAATTTGGAATTACCAACATTAGGGTCATTGCTTGGTGCGATAGTGAAGCCTCGGGTTAACAAGCATGAGAGCATAAATCTAAGCACCTCAAGCAAATATGCCAAAAGTTAGGTTAGGTTTCTACGTAGTTCCCTCTTCACGCACCCCAAAACCCTGACACCATAAATTGTTGGGACCTACATTGACAATGGCATCCTACAGTTAGCATCACCAAAAATTACATATCAATTGCACCTAATTAAATTAGCACAAGTTCTAATCAACTTAGTCTCCCAAACACCTGTTTACACCAGAAAATCTACTACATATATAATTTTGTAAATTCAAAGGAACATCAAAACTATGGAACGAAACCCAGATTGCAAAGGGTAATGCTACTCTTCCCAGCCTTTTCTAAGGAACTCGCGTATATCAGTGGTTCGTGAGCCACTAACATTGAACAATTATGATCACAACAACGTTAATTGATAAGGAAAAGTCAACAACATTACTGTATTCCTTAACAATATTATCATCCATGCTACAATTACAATAACTGAACTCAGAAGAAACACCCAATTTTACCCAAATCGATCCAAGTAACAACTTTTATTCCAAAATTCCCTTTGTGCACACATACAACAACATACATGAGTGATGAACCTATCTAAATACAAATCAACAAATACCAATAAATAACAGGATAAAGAAAAACTCAAATTTAAAATAGGGTAAAATATGACCATTATAATTTTAAATAATGATGTAATTTCACCATTAAAAATTTGGGTTTAAATAAAGGGGCTCACCTAATTTGGGTTTAAAAAAGGGCGTCGTTTCATTTGGTATGAGTATGAGTCTAGTATTAGAGAAGTATTTTAGACCACTTTTATCCAAATTTATATTTGGATATAATGCTGAATATGCTCTAACAGTTACATCACGTCAACATTATTAAGTAGTGTTTTAATAATAATTCACCAAATAGGAATAATGGATCCCACTCATTTAAATAACTACTGCTCAATGTAATATAGTAACCATCCATGTAAAAAATATGCAAAAAAAATGATATTTGCACTTAAAAAATTAACAAGGTAAATCACAATTATTGAATTGGTAGTAGATTCTAATAAATATTGAAACTCACAACTAAATCAAATGACAAATTGATAATGATTGATCAAGTCAGTTTTTCAAATCTGTATAACATTGCTAAAAAAAATTGGAGCACTTTATCCACTTATTTATTTAACATTGAACGATTACATTATGTGACAATATTGACGTGATATAATCGTTACACTCAAATTTTACTTGTGAAATAAGGCAAAGTGTGAACACTTGTTTTCAAATTTTGAGGACAATCCCCATATTTATTCTTATTTAAATTTTTATGAGAACTCTCAAAAATTACTCATAATGAACATAAACCTTTGAAAGAATTCAAGAATTAATGGAATATGGGTAAAAAATCGGGATACACCCAAACTTATAGTGATGTTGGTTTCGTTTTGGTTTTTTTCATTTTAAATCTATATTGAGATATATAAAGTGAGAATTCGAATTTAGTATGTTGGTGTTTAAATAAACAATATATTACATCCTCCATATTAAGTTATAATGTAAAAACTCTTATATTTTAGTGTTTACAATATCATTTTTCAGCTAATTACATAAGAACCCTTGACATTGTAAGGGTCATATAAACCCTCTTTTCTTTTGTGTATTGTAACAAAAATTCCCATTCACAAGTTAAAATTTTTAAAAATTACCTTTTTAAGAGATATTACACATAGCTCTTGGGAATTATTCGTAATGAACATAAACCTTGGAAGGTTTTTTACAAGCTATCATAATAAAAAGACGTAGATTATGATTCAAATCATTTGACAATTTGTTCTAGCTAAATTTATTAGATGCTAAAATATTCTCCAAATATTTATTCGAATAAAAATCAAGAGGGCACAAAAGGAACATTATAAGTTTAGGGATTATTTCCAATTATGTTTGGAAAATAGGACTCAATAATTTTGATACAAACATAATACAACTGAATGGTTTTTACCTTCCTTTTTTTTTTTTATCAGGAAAAAAAAAAAGGGAAAGGAGTGACTAGTAGGTAGTAACCCCGCGCAAAACTATGAGATTTTTTTTTTCCCGATAAGAAAAATAAAATAGGTTGAGAGATGAAGCAAAGAGAGTGAAAAGAGATGAAGGAGTGGAGGTCCGTGACTACAAGTGAGACGGCCATGGCTTTAATATAAGTTTCATTCTTTAATAAGTCGGAAAGAAGAAAGAGAAATTTAGTGATAAAATCTTATTATGACTCTTTGAGTATAATAGAATGTTGAATCTCGAACCGTAACAAATGTATATATTCAAGTGATATGAGTTCTAGTAAAAAAAAAATGATATATAAGTTTGAATTTGAAAATTAATATGTTCAAAATAGGTTAAAAAATATTATGTGGAAACTACTAAGATTTGGATCCTCGATTTCTAAATTTATCAAATTATATCAAATATAATAACTTATTACAACATTTATTAAGAATAGTGGGTTAGTGAGACTTATGAGAATCTTTTATTATGGCCCACTGAAATTAATGATAGATACCGTCTTGCGAAGATTTTGTTTTTTTGAAGTCAATGGTTCAAGACTCTTAGTTGACAAATGCGTGGTTGATTTGGTTGGACGGATTTTAATTGTTTGAACGAACAGTATTCAAGTCTTTAGTATGGATTTAAATTCCCACCGATATGCAAATCCTGATTTAACTAGTAGTGTATAAGTTAAGGGACAGAATGATCGGTTCATCCACTCGAGATTTACCCTTAGTTCTAATCGAACTCATGAGCTCGGGCGACATTTATGCGTCTCCACTCGTCGATGACAGATCAAAGATTTTTCTTCATTAACAAAAAATAAATTAATGATAGATGATTCAAATTGATCAATTTTTTAAGATTTGAAATTGAGATGATCATTTTAGCACTAACAACGAAAGTCACCACAAAAGTTATGGTGCCACGAATTAAATATTATAAAGTATCCGAGTCGTTTTTGTCAAACTTAAGTGGATATTAATGTAATTTTGAAGAAAAGTAGACTTTAATAAATAAAAAATTACCAACCATCGATATGCATAAATGCGAAACATTGTCAGCAATCCACTACTTCAGAGTTCAGAGTTCAGAGTTCAGAGTTGCGCATAACTTTGTGGCCAGAAGACAACNATGCATAAATGCGAAACATTGTCAGCAATCCACTACTTCAGAGTTCAGAGTTCAGAGTTGCGCATAACTTTGTGGCCTGAAGACAAAACGTACCTACAAACCAAACCCAAAATGATGGTTCAGAGAATCTATCTTCTTCTTCTTCTTGTTCATCTTCCTCTGTTCTTCTTCTGTGGCTTCCCAGCAATTTTATCTCTCAGTGATGCAGAAGACCCAGCAACCAAAACCATGGAGGATTTTTCTGGGTACCCAATTCATGAACCCCACTTCCCAAACTCTGTTTCTTCAATGTCAGTGGACATTCACAGTCTGCAAAAACAGGTAATTGAAGTGATTGTATGGTTTTTTTTTCTGTGTATGTTAAACAGGGTATGGTGGTCAGTGATCTGTAATTGGCTGTTAATATTGATTTCAGCTCTTGAAATCGTAATTACAATGCTCTGTATGCAGTTTTTTGTGTACTTGCGGAAAATTTAAGAATAGGGTGTTTGATTTCCCATTGAGATTATTCTATTTTACAGAGGTTTTAGTTTAGTGTTTCGAGTCTTTTTGTTTTTCNATGGGCTCTTTGAAGCATCTGAAACAAAGTTTACAGTATTTATAGTGTGATTTAAGGTTGCGAGAAATGGCATTTGTTGCATTGATTGAAATTTGTGCTGGGTTTTTTTTGGTTTTTAGTTTTTATGTCTTGGCCACTGCTTATTTTCTTTTCCATTCCATTGTGAAGAATGCACATGTCGTCAAATCCACTGAAAAAAAAAGGAACTAACTGTCGTTGTTTGTTAAAATATCTATTGTCAAATTGAGTGTTATCAACAGTATCTATGTATCATTACTGTGTAACAAATCAATTAGCTGATGGACGTTAAAGAAAAGTAATTACTGGCATTCGAAACAGATAGACCTGATTTTTTTTTCCCAGTAATACTGTAGATTGCATACAATCAGGCCTCACATACGCAGACCTCTCGGCCTCTGGACTTCAACTGCCAACTATCCCGAATGAGACTACTCCTACATGATATATTTCTTCGGTGTGGCATTAAACTTATTATACTTGGTGGAGGAAATAATTTTAGGTGAGCTGCTAGAGATGTGAACACGATTTGAAATTGTACTTTGATCACATGTTTCGATGCTTCATCTGCTTTGAATGTCCATTAGCGTGCACAGAGTAGGAAGGTCAATGTATCAGATTCACACACGTCATGCAGAACCATAGAGTACTTTAGGGAGAGGGGCAGAAGGAGGGAGTGGCTCTCATGCTATATAGTTGGTGGTGAAAGAGGTAAGCATTTTTATTGGCGGATGGGTGCTTTGTAGGCAAGGTAGGCACTTGCGAAAGATAGCCAATAAGATGGAGATGCATGTCCTGTGTGTTGTCTAAGAGATATCATTTTGCTATCTCTTTTCTGTACTTGTCTCAAGGCATTTGTCTACTAATTAGATATCAATGGTGACTTTAAGATGCGTGCTTTGGTGCGGTTGTAGTTGTACGAACCCATGGCATCACCCCCTGGCTCACATTCCACCAAACCACCACCAAGGTCTAGCAAGCCACCTAGTATAACAGGTGGACGTTATATCACAAACAGATCTCTAAGTAGAGCTCCCAATCAAAGGGCAGGTTCGATGTCTAAACACAGTGCTGCCATATTTTAAGTCCTGTTTGGTTGAGCTTAAGCACGTTTGGCCTTGATTCTTGGAATATTCTGTGTTCTGTTTGTGCTTATATTTATTTTGTAACTTGAAAAATATTTTGTTGTATTAATATTTCGTATGCTCTGTGAGAATTTGAATTTTATTAGAAAAGATGTTTAACTCTGACGAAAAGAAAAAGGAAAAGTTGTTTGGCAGATTTCCTCATATTTCATGCTGTTATATGTCAGATTTTAATATATTAGGTGACAGAAAGAGAAAAAGTCATCATAACCTTCTGTCCCTGTTGAGCTACCTGAGTCTTTTGGTTTGTTATAGCATGTTTTACTGTAATCTTTTGGTTGGATGCTCCTATTTTTTGTTCACTAATTTTCTCTCAGTCATTAATTACATGTCCTATTACACAGGGAGGGCTATGAACCAGAGCTCGCTCCAGTTTCTACTGGTTCTCACATTGATGCTATTCCATACTCCGGGAAGTATGATGGGGTTGTTGGTGTATTAGGTGCAATAGAAGCCATTAATGTACTAAAGAGGTACGCAGGTAGCTCAATTGTTGTAAATTAGTNGTCCTCCATATTAAGTTATAATGTAAAAACTCTTATATTTTAGTGTTTACAATATCATTTTTCAGCTAATTACATAAGAACCCTTGACATTGTAAGGGTCATATAAACCCTCTTTTCTTTTGTGTATTGTAACAAAAATTCCCATTCACAAGTTAAAATTTTTAAAAATTACCTTTTTAAGAGATATTACACATAGCTCTTGGGAATTATTCGTAATGAACATAAACCTTGGAAGGTTTTTTACAAGCTATCATAATAAAAAGACGTAGATTATGATTCAAATCATTTGACAATTTGTTCTAGCTAAATTTATTAGATGCTAAAATATTCTCCAAATATTTATTCGAATAAAAATCAAGAGGGCACAAAAGGAACATTATAAGTTTAGGGATTATTTCCAATTATGTTTGGAAAATAGGACTCAATAATTTTGATACAAACATAATACAACTGAATGGTTTTTAGCTTCCTTTTTTTTTTTTTATCAGGAGAAAAAAAAAAAGGGAAAGGAGTGACTAGTAGGTAGTAACCCCGCGCAAAACTATGAGATTTTTTTTTTCCCGATAAGAAAAATAAAATAGGTTGAGAGATGAAGCAAAGAGAGTGAAAAGANCCTTTTTTTTTTTTATCAGGAGAAAAAAAAAGGGAAAGGAGTGACTAGTAGGTAGTAACCCCGCGCAAAACTATGAGATTTTTTTTTTCCCGGTAAGAAAAATAAAATAGGTTGAGAGATGAAGCAAAGAGAGTGAAAAGCNGATGGACGTTAAAGAAAAGTAATTACTGGCATTCGAAACAGATAGACCTGATTTTTTTTTCCCAGTAATACTGTAGATTGCATACAATCAGGCCTCACATACGCAGACCTCTCGGCCTCTGGACTTCAACTGCCAACTATCCCGAATGAGACTACTCCTACATGATATATTTCTTCGGTGTGGCATTAAACTTATTATACTTGGTGGAGGAAATAATTTTAGGTGAGCTGCTAGAGATGTGAACACGATTTGAAATTGTACTTTGATCACATGTTTCGATGCTTCATCTGCTTTGAATGTCCATTAGCGTGCACAGAGTAGGAAGGTCAATGTATCAGATTCACACACGTCATGCAGAACCATAGAGTACTTTAGGGAGAGGGGCAGAAGGAGGGAGTGGCTCTCATGCTATATAGTTGGTGGTGAAAGAGGTAAGCATTTTTATTGGCGGATGGGTGCTTTATAGGCAAGGTAGGCACTTGCGAAAGATAGCCAATAAGATGGAGATGCATGTCCTGTGCGTTGTCTAAGAGATATCATTTTGCTATCTCTTTTCTGTACTTGTCTCAAGGCATTTGTCTACTAATTAGATATCAATGGTGACTTTAAGATGCGTGCTTTGGTGCGGTTGTAGTTGTACGAACCCATGGCATCACCCCCTGGCTCACATTCCACCAAACCACCACCAAGGTCTAGCAAGCCACCTAGTATAACAGGTGGACGTTATATCACAAACAGATCTCTAAGTAGAGCTCCCAATCAAAGGGCAGGTTCGATGTCTAAACACAGTGCTGCCATATTTTAAGTCCTGTTTGGTTGAGCTTAAGCACGTTTGGCCTTGATTCTTGGAATATTCTGTGTTCTGTTTGTGCTTATATTTATTTTGTAACTTGAAAAATATTTTGTTGTATTAATATTTCGTATGCTCTGTGAGAATTTGAATTTTATTAGAAAAGATGTTTAACTCTGACGAAAAGAAAAAGGAAAAGTTGNCCCACTCATTTAAATAACTACTGCTCAATGTAATATAGTAACCATCCATGTAAAAAAAATGCAAAAAAAATGATATTTGCACTTAAAAAATTAACAAGGTAAATCACAATTATTGAATTGATAGTAGATTCTAATAAATATTGAAACCCACAACTAAATCAAATGACAAATTGATAATGATTGATCAAGTCAGTTTTTCAAATCTGTATCNCTGTTTGGTTGAGCTTAAGCACGTTTGGCCTTGATTCTTGGAATATTCTGTGTTCTGTTTGTGCTTATATTTATTTTGTAACTTGAAAAATATTTTGTTGTATTAATATTTCGCATGCTCTGTGAGAATTTGAATTTTATTAGAAAAGATGTTTAACTCTGACGAAAAGAAAAAGGAAAAGTTGTNTTGTTTTCAAATTTTGAGGATAATCCCCATATTTATTCTTATTTAAATTTTTATGAGAACTCTCAAAAATTACTCATAATGAACATAAACCTTTGAAAGAATTCAAGAATTAATGGAATACGGGTAAAAAATCGGGATACACCCAAACTTATAGTGATGTTGGTTTCGTTTTGGTTTTTTTTCATTTTAAATCTATATTGAGATATATAAAGTGAGAATTCGAATTTAGTATGTTGGTGTTTAAAGAAACAATATATTACATCCTCCATATTAAGTTATAATGTAAAAACTCTTATATTTTAGTGTTTACAATATCATTTTTCAGCTAATTACATAAGAACCCTTGACATTGTAAGGGTCATATAAACCCTCTTTTCTTTTGTGTATTGTAACAAAAATTCCCATTCACAAGTTAAAATTTTTAAAAATTACCTTTTTAAGAGATATTACACATAGCTCTTGGGAATTATTCGTAATGAACATAAACCTTGGAAGGTTTTTTACAAGCTATCATAATAAAAAGACGTAGATTATGATTCAAATCATTTGACAATTTGTTCTAGCTAAATTTATTAGATGCTAAAATATTCTCCAAATATTTATTCGAATAAAAATCAAGAGGGCACAAAAGGAACATTATAAGTTTAGGGATTATTTCCAATTATGTTTGGAAAATAGGACTCAATAATTTTGATACAAACATAATACAACTGAATGGTTTTTACCTTCCTTTTTTTTTTTTATCAGGAAAAAAAAAAAGGGAAAGGAGTGACTAGTAGGTAGTAACCCCGCGCAAAACTATGAGATTTTTTTTTTCCCGATAAGAAAAATAAAATAGGTTGAGAGATGAAGCAAAGAGAGTGAAAAGAGATGAAGGAGTGGAGGTCCGTGACTACAAGTGAGACGGCCATGGCTTTAATATAAGTTTCATTCTTTAATAAGTCGGAAAGAAGAAAGAGAAATTTAGTGATAAAATCTTATTATGACTCTTTGAGTATAATAGAATGTTGAATCTCGAACCGTAACAAATGTATATATTCAAGTGATATGAGTTCTAGTAAAAAAAATGATATATAAGTTTGAATTTGAAAATTAATATTTTCAAAATAGGTTAAAAAATATTATGTGGAAACTACTAAGATTTGGATCCTCGATTTCTAAATTTATCAAATTATATCAAATATAATAACTTATTACAACATTTATTAAGAATAGTGGGTTAGTGAGACTTATGAGAATCTTTTATTATGGCCCACTGAAATTAATGATAGATACCGTCTTGCGAAGATTTTGTTTTTTTTAAGTCAATGGTTCAAGTCTCTTAGTTGACAAATGCATGGTTGATTTGGTTGGACGGATTTTAATTGTTTGAACGAACAGTATTCAAGTCTTTAGTATGGATTTAAATTCCCACCGATATGCAAATCCTGATTTAACTAGTAGTGTATAAGTTAAGGGACAGAATGATCGGTTCATCCACTCGAGATTTACCCTTAGTTCTAATCGAACTCATGAGCTCGGGCGACATTTATGCGTCTCCACTCGTCGATGACAGATCAAAGATTTTTCTTCATTAACAAAAAATAAATTAATGATAGATGATTCAAATTGATCAATTTTTTAAGATTTGAAATTGAGATGATCATTTTAGCACTAACAACGAAAGTCACCACAAAAGTTATGGTGCCACGAATTAAATATTATAAAGTATCCGAGTCGTTTTTGTCAAACTTAAGTGGATGTTAATGTAATTTTGAAGAAAAGTAGACTTTAATAAATAAAAAATTACCAACCATCGATATGCATAAATGCGAAACATTGTCAGCAATCCACTACTTCAGAGTTCAGAGTTCAGAGTTCAGAGTTGCGCATAACTTTGTGGCCAGAAGACAACACGTACCTACAAACCAAACCCAAAATGATGGTTCAGAGAATCTATCTTCTTCTTCTTCTTGTTCATCTTCCTCTGTTCTTCTTCTGTGGCTTCCCAGCAATTTTATCTCTCAGTGATGCAGAAGACCCAGCAACCAAAACCATGGAGGATTTTTCTGGGTACCCAATTCATGAACCCCACTTCCCAAACTCTGTTTCTTCAATGTCAGTGGACATTCACAGTCTGCAAAAACAGGTAATTGAAGTGATTGTATGGTTTTTTTTTCTGTGTATGTTAAACAGGGTATGGTGGTCAGTGATCTGTAATTGGCTGTTAATATTGATTTCAGCTCTTGAAATCGTAATTACAATGCTCTGTATGCAGTTTTTTGTGTACTTGCGGAAAATTTAAGAATAGGGTGTTTGATTTCCCATTGAGATTATTCTATTTTACAGAGGTTTTAGTTTAGTGTTTCGAGTCTTTTTGTTTTTCTTTTTTGTTCACTCTCTCTTTAGAAAGAGGGCTTAGGAGGAGGAGTTTGGTGAATTCGCTTTTGAAACGCACAGCAAAAAAAATGTCTAGGTACAATGAAGAATCAATCTTTGTGGATATTTGGACGGTTTTCCTTCTGTAATTCATGCTTGAATAATTAAATTCAATGAGGGAATTAAAAGACTAAATAATCATTAAATGCGAATTTATTGCCATAGATTTGGTCATCTAATCTATTGCTGCTATTGGTTTGACAATTGGCCCAAATTAGTTAGGACCGTAGTGAGATCCCTTTCAATACATTTTTTTTTCTCCATTTTTCCCTTCAGAGATAACCTACCATGAATTCAACTAGACCTGAGTAATGCATGGTGGGTGATGAGGAAAATGGAGAAAAAAATAAAAAAGTATTGAAGAGGGTCTAGATACATTGGGAATTGGAATGTGTTGCCAATAAAGGGAAAATTAAGATTAGATAAAGGTACTTTTGTCTTCGAATACAATATTGTCATCCTTGTTAATTGTTGCACTTTCATCCCAAACTTTAAGGTAGTAAAGTGTAGGCTTCTAAAATATGAAAAGTTAAGATTTCACTGGCTTGAAACACATGGGAATAAGAACTGATTTACCCTCTATTTTATTTGTAGAGAACAACTACCTATAATTTGGCGGTGATACTTTTCAAATTAAGAGGTTTATTGATGTTGATTATTTTTACATTGATAGGAGTCAATAGAAGCTACATCATTCTGAATTAGACATTTTAAGCGCAAGATGCTGTGTTACGATCCCACATCAGTTAAAAATAAAACTAGATGTATGCAATGGACTGATAAGATTTGCGAAGGACAGCCAAACAACCCCTGAGATATAACTCAAACAAATTTTACATGTGCCCTGAAGTTTGTAAACAAAGGACTATTTTTTTATCCAAGATTGATTTTCTGATTTGGTCTTTTTTCAGATTGATGAGCTGTCAACTTTCTCAGATACACCTGCCCCATCAGTAACGAGGATACTATACAGTGAGAAGGATGTTTTGGCTAGGAGGTATGCTACAGTTTAAGTTCATCATTTGTGCTTAGGTTTGATACTAGATCTCTAATTGTGATCAAAAGCTATTCTGATTCTTGAAATGGAGTCATAGTTGTCAAATTAAATTGACAAGTTCCACTTCGACTATAGGCGGAGTGATTACTTCCAATATTCTGCCATAGAATAGTCTATAACTTAATGAGAGGGTTTCCACAGATGTCATCTTCCCTTACGTTTCTTTTTTTTTATTCTACGTAGTGTTTAATTTCTCATAATATATGTTAGGTTTTACTTTTTAAAGATTTTTCCACTGGACTTATGCTTGCATGCATGCACCTTTTCAACAATTCCATCCTCGTCCAAAAAGCCCAGCATCATCTGCTACCCTAACTTTTAGTCAAATTGGATCCTGTAGAGATATTTGACGTTATGGTCAGGCATGGTTTGAGGTTATTGCAGCAGTTTATTTTGTTGCAGTGCATTGATATGTCTTATGTTTCTTTGTCATTCTTATATTTTTGTGCCATTTTAAATTGCAGGTATGTCAAAAACTTGATGAGACTTTCTGGTCTCTCTGTCAGAGAGGATTTTGTTGGGAATATATTTGGTCTGTGGTGAGTTCATGTTTTATTGTTATGTTTTGTCTGATGGCTTTGATACTGTGTATAGAGTGCTATTTCCAATGTCCTTTGAAGAATTTTTTATTGTGGTGTACATGACATTTAACTTAAATTCATTGGGTTATGATTGACCACATTAAAAGTAGTTCAATGGGCTCTTTGAAGCATCTGAAACAAAGTTTACAGTATTTATAGTGTGATTTAAGGTTGCGAGAAATGGCATTTGTTGCATTGATTGAAATTTGTGCTGGGTTTTTTTTGGTTTTTAGTTTTTATGTCTTGGCCACTGCTTATTTTCTTTTCCATTCCATTGTGAAGAATGCACATGTCGTCAAATCCACTGAAAAAAAAAGGAACTAACTGTCGTTGTTTGTTAAAATATCTATTGTCAAATTGAGTGTTATCAACAGTATCTATGTATCATTACTGTGTAACAAATCAATTAGCTGATGGACGTTAAAGAAAAGTAATTACTGGCATTCGAAACAGATAGACCTGATTTTTTTTTCCCAGTAATACTGTAGATTGCATACAATCAGGCCTCACATACGCAGACCTCTCGGCCTCTGGACTTCAACTGCCAACTATCCCGAATGAGACTACTCCTACATGATATATTTCTTCGGTGTGGCATTAAACTTATTATACTTGGTGGAGGAAATAATTTTAGGTGAGCTGCTAGAGATGTGAACACGATTTGAAATTGTACTTTGATCACATGTTTCGATGCTTCATCTGCTTTGAATGTCCATTAGCGTGCACAGAGTAGGAAGGTCAATGTATCAGATTCACACACGTCATGCAGAACCATAGAGTACTTTAGGGAGAGGGGCAGAAGGAGGGAGTGGCTCTCATGCTATATAGTTGGTGGTGAAAGAGGTAAGCATTTTTATTGGCGGATGGGTGCTTTGTAGGCAAGGTAGGCACTTGCGAAAGATAGCCAATAAGATGGAGATGCATGTCCTGTGCGTTGTCTAAGAGATATCATTTTGCTATCTCTTTTCTGTACTTGTCTCAAGGCATTTGTCTACTAATTAGATATCAATGGTGACTTTAAGATGCGTGCTTTGGTGCGGTTGTAGTTGTACGAACCCATGGCATCACCCCCTGGCTCACATTCCACCAAACCACCACCAAGGTCTAGCAAGCCACCTAGTATAACAGGTGGACGTTATATCACAAACAGATCTCTAAGTAGAGCTCCCAATCAAAGGGCAGGTTCGATGTCTAAACACAGTGCTGCCATATTTTAAGTCCTGTTTGGTTGAGCTTAAGCACGTTTGGCCTTGATTCTTGGAATATTCTGTGTTCTGTTTGTGCTTATATTTATTTTGTAACTTGAAAAATATTTTGTTGTATTAATATTTCGTATGCTCTGTGAGAATTTGAATTTTATTAGAAAAGATGTTTAACTCTGACGAAAAGAAAAAGGAAAAGTTGTTTGGCAGATTTCCTCATATTTCATGCTGTTATATGTCAGATTTTAATATATTAGGTGACAGAAAGAGAAAAAGTCATCATAACCTTCTGTCCCTGTTGAGCTACCTGAGTCTTTTGGTTTGTTATAGCATGTTTTACTGTAATCTTTTGGTTGGATGCTCCTATTTTTTGTTCACTAATTTTCTCTCAGTCATTAATTACATGTCCTATTACACAGGGAGGGCTATGAACCAGAGCTCGCTCCAGTTTCTACTGGTTCTCACATTGATGCTATTCCATACTCCGGGAAGTATGATGGGGTTGTTGGTGTATTAGGTGCAATAGAAGCCATTAATGTACTAAAGAGGTACGCAGGTAGCTCAATTGTTGTAAATTAGTCTACAGAAGTTCTGAAATATTCATTTTTTGGATTTGAATGTGCTAGCCAAGCTAGATTTCTTTGATTTGTCATATTGATGGTATAACTTGAGAAGACTTGTCAGGCTGTTGTATGATTGATTTAGCTGTCAAGAATTCCCTAGTTGCCAGCCCGGGCTTTCTATAAAAAAAATTGATTGATTTTTTGCTCTTGTACAATCAGAATTTGAGGTGGCAACGCGGGAACCCTTCCTTGGGTTGTACCAATGCAAAAGCACTTGGGCTAAATTAACCAAGATGCTGAAATAAGCAGACTAGCCTGTGGCCACACGTAATATGAATTTGCATCCTTCAGAACGTGAAATGCAGTTCCACTTCCGTTCTTTCATATATTCATTTAGCTGCAAATTTCTGGTGGTTGTATTGACTTGGAATTTCACAGGTTTGGCTTTAAGCCCAGAAGGTCGCTGGAGGTGATCATGTTCACCTCAGAAGAGCCTACAAGGTTTGGGATCAGCTGCTTGGGGAGGTTAGGACCACCAATGTCTTCGTGTTTTCATCTCAATTTTTTGATAGGAATAACTGATTATGACTTGCAAAAGGTTGATGGAGATAATTTCCATATTTGGCTTGACATTTCTCATATTTATCTGACATGGGCAGCCGCTTATTGGCTGGGGACGAGGCACTTGTGAAATCTCTCGATAGGACAGTTGATAATCAAAATGTAACATTCTTCCATGCCGCAAGGTCAGCTGATTATGCAAATGATCAAGAGGAGTTATCCAGTGTCTTTCTAAAGGAAGGAAGCTATTCGGCTTTCGTAGAGTTACACATAGAGCAAGGTCCTATTCTGGAAGAAGAAGGTAGGCTGGTTTTTCTTACTTTCACGTTTTCTTGTTGCATGCAACTATCTGAACACCCATGTTTTCTTCTTTTCACTTGTTAGTCTCATTCATTTGTCGATTCAGGTATTTCTATTGGCATTGTGACTGCAATTGCTGCTCCTGCAAGCATTAAGGTGGATTTTGAAGGCAATGGAGGTCATGCAGGCGCTGTCTTGATGCCGAATAGGTAAAAATTTCAAGAATCACTAGCTCACATTTGGGTCCTTTCCAGTTCCAATTGTTATGCAATTCTCTTAAATCAATCGCCCACCTTGAATGGGACCAATTACAATTTCCCAGCTAGTGAATTTTTTATGGAAGTGGATGAGAATTAAAATTGGAGATGATGTTTCATAATATTAAGATTCCTACTATATCACTTTTATAATATTCTGGTCCTGTTGCTGTCAAAGCATGGAAGCATTTTGAAGTATATGATACATCACTTGTTAATATATAACTGTCTATACAAGTTATTCCTTTGTTGTGCTTTGATCCATCATCCATACTTCATACTTCTTGTATAAATCATTTGATGTAGAAATGATGCAGGACTGGCTGCTGCTGAGTTAGCTCTAGCTGTGGAGAAACATGCATTAGAATCTGGATCAATTGATACTGTTGGTACTGTTGGTGAGCCTTTCTCTTTTTTCTCATGCATAAATAATGTTAATTGTCACCATGATGGTAAGGGCCGCAGGGTAACGAATGCGGGAATAAACAGATGTTTCATAACAGTAATGGAAATCAGGTGTGTGAATGCCCAAAATTAAATACATGCATGTTCTAAGTCCCAATATATACAAGTATTGGTTTTTAGTGATTTTATGCTTAATTTATTGTAAGATACGTGGCTTTGAACAATGTGATAGTCTAAACAATTTTAAATATTTTTCGGGAGCTAGACTGGCTCACTAGAAAATAGAAATTGATTTTATCCCAAACCTCTCATACAAAAAGGCTTCATGCGTAGATGGCTAGGATTTGGCCTTTGTTATCTTGGACTGGTTTAAACTTGGGACTCCCTTTCTTCTCCCTTGTTGCCTCTTTCTTTCTCTTAATCAATATCTTTAAGCAACAAAAACCCCCTGGATATCTGTAAGCGACAGACCACAGAGGGATTCGCCTTCCAATCTTTTTTCCAAGAAGCATAGATGACCAAGGAAATCGAAGATTGTGATGATTAGTACCTGTACGCACATGGAGGACATGGACTAAAACTCGGAAAATTTGGTGTCTGTTGATAATGTTCAAAAACCTACTGCTTTTGATGCTTTTTGAGGCAGAAGAGGTAATGGATTGTGATGATAAAGAGATCTGGCTTGAAAGAGACTGCACAAAAGTCTACTTGATGATTTGATGATTTAAAATGACTTTCCTCCTGGGTTTAAGTTTGGATCACGGGCCATTATGGCCTATAAAAGACCAATATTGTTGGGAAATATTGCTCCCTGCTTTTATGTGACAGCAACTAACCTGTTACCAAACAGGCGTTACATAAAGTAAAGCCCATTTTTCATATGCTTTCTTGCGGCATTGTGAGTGGTTCCTTTTTGCAATTATTCCAAAATTAAAGTTTGTCTCCAGTCTACTCCGTATCCCATCTAGCAGCCTGCATCAACAGGACCACCTATAGGCAATGTCTTCATGCCAACCATAGGATTCTGAATATCTGAAACCATTGGAAGTTCTAGTGGTATATAATGAAATGCAATGGTCACCCCCTTTCTTTCGTTTTGGGTTGTTCTCCTCTTAAAATGCTTCTCTTTTGCAAGGTATTCTCAATCTGCATCCTGGAGCAATCAACAGCATCCCAAGCAAATCACACCTGGAAATAGGTATTCTTGTTAATAATGAATAATTCTCATAGTTACAGTTCATACCAAGCATACAGAATGTTAGTTTTCCTGGTTCATGTGTATTGCCTGTGGTCGTTCAGGATGAAATTCACAGGAATCTTCATACAATAAGATTACTGTTCTGCATCTGGCCAACAGATGACGTTTGACCCATCATGTACAACATAATTAAAAAAGTTTCTTGAATTTTCCCTCAATTTTTTTTCTGTCTTGCAGATACACGGGACATTGATGAATATCGAAGAAACATTGTTATCGAGAAAATCCATCAATCTGCTTTAAATATATCCCAAAAACGAGGTGTCAAGCTTTTGGATTTTAAAATTGTCAATCAAGATCCACCAGCCCTTTCTGAGAAATCAATAGTTAAGGCCATGGAATCAGCATCACAAGAGCTTAACCTGACTCACAAGAAGATGATCAGCAGAGCTTATCATGATTCGCTGTTCATGGCCAGGTGATTAAGAATCCCTAAATTATATATTAAACATGCATGAGCAAAGTAAAATTTGTACATGGCTTGCAAATTGAAGCTTTGTTCCAGCAATCATTGGTCAGTTATGGACGGAGGAAGGGGGATGTTATAGCCTTAGTATCTGTACCCATAGAGAGGCAGGGGCACTTTGATTCTTGTAGACTTTCCTTGCTAACAGAGTATTCATTTTCAATGCTAATGGCTTTCAATGGGTGGTCTTAGGTTATACAATCGTGATATGGACCCAATTCAGGTGCTGAATATTCCTCTCTTGGGACTAAGAGTCTCCAAGTTCTTTCCCTGAAAAAAATTGCATGCTCCCGTAATTTCACTGCTGTCTTTCAAAACTCCTCGCCTTTAAAAGTACAACTACAGCACCCTTGAGATTATTAATTGAATTACTCTTAAGATCCCATGATATCATCTCTAAAACTTTGTCTAATTACATGGCATACCTGGCCAACCCAGGCCATGGATATTCAATATAACAGAATGTAGTTGTCAGAGAAAAATAAACTGCAACGGCAGCAGTGGTAGTTGAGCATGTTACCGTGGAGCTTCATCCTTCAAACATTGCAATCATTTATATTTAGATTTGAATGAAGAAATAGGGGTTATATATTTCTCCCATGTAAATGCATTTGTGATGAAATTAGTATTTAAACGTTGTGTCCCAGCCTTGTCTATCGTAATTCTGCAGCCAAAGTGTCCATAGCCATAACTACATGTTAATGTTCTGGGTCTATTATGTGTTACATGGAACTATTTTTGTTCACTTGGATGGTCATTTACATGGGAGTATGGGACTATGTTGCTTGAAAAATTGCACAATTGTGTCTCTTACCCCTGCTATTTCAAATCCTTGCAGAATATCCCCAATGGGCATGATATTCATTCCTTGTTACAAAGGTATGGACTTTTTTCTTTATTCTACAACTGCCTCCAACTTTCTGTGATTTCATGTACACTAATTGCATTTTCTTTCATCGTACCTCTTTATATTAATGAATGTGCTAAATAGATCAAATTGACTACTGACGAATAGGCTCAATTTCTATCTGGCACATTTATCCATGTACTGGTATTACAGTAGCATTCTTTTGAGGGAAAAAAAAACATGTGCAGCAGTAAATAATGCCACTACGCTAATTTTATTTTATTCAGAAAGTAGTTTCAAAACTGCAAGAACAATGCGCGCCAAAATGGGAATATACCTTTATGCACACTGATCTGTTGCTAGGGACATTAGAAACAGCGGTTTCATGTGCACAGGCATAGGAAATTGCTAGAAACTTTGCAAAGTTGGTTTCTCGGAACACCCAACTGATGCATCTACTGGTTTTGCAGGATACAGCCATAAACCTGAAGAATTTGCCTCCATTGAGGATATAACAAATGGGGTCAAGGTATTAGCACTGACCCTTGCCAAGTTGTCCCTACACTGATACCTGTACCACAATTCTTGCTGAAGCTCTGTTTCTAATAACTCAAACTGGTTAATGGGGCTTGCTTTGCACATTATTACCTGCTCTATGTTGTTTCATGTATGATTATCATTTGTAAGTGACTAACAAGGAGTGAATTTGAAACTTGTGTTTAAAGATGTGAAACTGATATTGATGTGACATAACCCTGTCTAAATTTAAAAAGATCTTAATTGGCATGCAGGAAATTATGGTGGCTCTCAATACATTTCTAGGTGAAACATAAATCAGTTTGTACATGAAACTCAAAAAAGAATCAATTAATCAAAATGTAGGTCTGCACCATCCCTTCAAAGCTAATAGGTCACAATATAGGAATGATCCTACAAATACACATTTTTTGTCATTTTGGTCTTCGTTCTTTCATTTGTGTCGCTTTTAGTTGCTCAATATTTTTAATTAGTGTCATTTTAGTCCAATTGAAAGTGAGAGTTAGATTGCTTAGCAGGTGGTCACTGTGTCTCCCATAACCACAATTGAGGAGCTTTATTTGAAAATATTGAGAATGACGGATCAAAGTGACATAACTCGCAAACTTGAGTGGCCAAAGTGACTTCATGAGCCACACATCACCACCTCCATTAGTCAGCCACCGTATGTCCGTTGGTCAATTTAAACCGTCACTTTCGAATGAACTAAAGTGATACGAATTAAAATTTTGATTTTGCAAAATGTATATCCTAACAGTAGTAGTTACAAGAAACATTACATGGGCAAAATGAGCAATTAAGAGAGTTGATGTTCACTGCAGTCTAAGGAATAGAGGATGAGAAAACATACAAAATGGAAAGACCCACTTAGATCTGCTGCTGCCATCAAACACCGTCTCTACCTTCAAATCCATGGTTATCTAGACATTATCAGCAGCTCTAGCAGATCTTCCTCAGCAACCTACCTTTCAGACTTAGCTACTATACAACTCACTGATCATGGAAACACACAACCACCATTATTCAATGGTGAAGCTATTTGCTGCTATTTATTTTGTTCCTTCTTATCGGCAATCTTCCAGGATGCTGTACCAGCAGTATTGGTCTTTAGTTTGTCTCCATTCTCTGACTTCATCAGCAAAATTTCAATCTGTTAAATGAATTAAGAGCAAGAGAGTATCAATAAAAACACACATCAAAAAATAGTCATGCCACTGGTTTTCAAGGTTGTTATTCATTATTGTTTTGTTATGAAGGTGTTTAAAAACGTGTTTGTAATATTCATCATAATTTTAACAACATTTTGCAAACATGTTTTACATTAAAAAACGTCGGTTTAAGACATACTTTTGTGTAAACAACGTTAATATGATAAATTTAAAACATACGGTAAAATGATCAAATTCATGAAAACACTAAAGATTTAATGAAGTAGAATACCAACCTTAGGCTTCTGAACTAAGCGACCTTTGGCATCATCTTGGAAGTCAATAGTAGATGTCAAAACCTCTGTTTTAAAATCCAAAGACAAAAATTATTTTACAGGCAATGAGAGGATGGCAAGAATTTAAAGGACATGGCTTCTTACTTTTCTCAGTGGCCAGTCCATTACTCTTCAGAATCTCAGCAATAATCACAACAGTTGGAATTGCTGTTAACATAAAGATATGCAAAAGGTGTTACCTAAAAGAATAACCAAAACCTTCTAGTGCTAAATTAATATTAAGACCAGGAGAGGGAGAGAGAGAGAGCTACAACATAAAGGGTTACTTAATATCAATTCATACTTTGAAGGATTTGTACCAAAACAGGGAGGAATCCTTGAGAGAAAGAGAGAGAGAGAGGCTCTTCAAACATGCAATAGGGTGATAAGAAACACAAGTTTAGGGTTAGAGAGAAGGATTCAAGAATATATATACCCATTCCCAAAGCAGAGAGCTCAACATCATCATAAAGCTTCATGTACCTCTGCAACACATAAATGAGTACATTAGGATCGAATATAAACCAGAAAGAAAGAACTATAAAGTCTAATAGAAATTTTTTACTAGAATTAATGATCAAGAGAGTCACAACGCAATAAGCAAAACCAAGTTACAGATTGTGCCCCTCAATGTACATAATCTTTGAAACATGGATCAAGAACCCTATGAAAATATCGTGAACGTGCCATTCCAATTTCCAAACCCCGATCAAGAAGACCATAAAGACTCGAAAATCAAAACAAAGAAACACTGAATTTCACAGAAAATGAGAGAGACACACAGAGAGGGGGGGGAGAGGGAGAGAGAGAGAGTTTAAACCTTGGCAAGATTGAGGTAGAAAAAGAGAGGCTTCTTGGTGTTGGAGACTTGAATTCTGTTCTTCTTCTGAGTCTCAGTCTTGCCATTATTGGCAGCATCGCCCATAGCAGCGGTGGTGGTGGCGGTGGCAGCCGCTGCGGCAGTGGTGTTAGTGACGTCTGCCATTGCCAGATTTCTTCCTCTGTACACTTTCTTCCTGTTCTCTTTCTCTGTCTTGTCCTGAAGCTTCTTGTTCTTGGTAGCCTCGTATATAGCGGCAGTGGTGGTGGTGGCGGCGATTGCGGTGGTGGTAGCATTGGTGTCTGCCATTGCCAGATTTTCTCTGTTCTCTCTCTATATAGAATGTGAAGCTTTCTTTCAGAATTGAAGTTGGTGAAAAGAAGTGAACAGTCATGGAGAGGTTTATATAGGCGGTTGGGATGGACACGTGGCTCCGTTTGGTTGGGCTATTTGTATGGTAGTTTTTTTGGCGGTTAGCTTGAAGCGGCTTGGTGTCAGGCAGTTTTTGTGGTTTCCTTCTATGACGGATTTACCCTCGGAGAAATCTTGGAATGGCAGATTTGCCCGGTGGATTGGTCTCGAGTTTGTTACATCCTGTCCTATTGGTAGCTTGTTCTAATCAGCTATTCTGTGCATTGGTCTCTAAATTTGAGTTCTGACTCTATGAAGGTATGTTGTTCGCGTGTAATCGTAAGTATTTCGACTTAGAGGCCTAGCTATGCATTTAAAGAAAATGTAATTGTTAGGATGTTTAATATCAGAAAAATTGTCGGATGAATGATGAAAAATGTCACCTACTTTTGCAACGAGAGTTAAGAACTCAACTNTTCTGACTCTATGAAGGTATGTTGTTCGCGTGTAATCGTAAGTATTTCGACTTAGAGTCCTAGCTATGCATTTAAAGAAAATGTAATTGTTAGGATGTTTAATATCAGAAAAATTGTCGGACGAATGATGAAAAATGTCACCTACTTTTACAACGAGAGTTAAGAACTCAACCCATCACTAGTCTATGGATTTTAAATAGTTTCACCATAGCTCTTATGTTAAAAAAACATGTTACTAGACATGGTCTTGTTACCAATCGAGTTTTAAAAAAACATTTTAAAATCATTTTTCGTGTAGTTATGACCAATTTATTTCCACAATATACTTGGGGACCATCGTTTAATTTGACATAAAAACAATCAATAATCTTCTATAAATGATATAGTTGTACATTAGTTTGAAAAAAGAAGTTGAAGTCATTATTATTTGGAGAATTACATTTTGCATCTTAAAAGATTTTGAAGTTCTCAATTTTTATGATCGAAGATTAATTTTTTCAAATTACAACCTCGGTGTCATAAATTAATTGTAGTGTGGCCCTCACACTAACTTTTGGATTTGATTTAGTCAATTCTTGTTGCACGCGACACACGTTTGACAATAATAATAATGAAAGNTGCATCTTAAAAGATTTTGAAGTTCTCAATTTTTATGATCGAAGATTAATTTTTTCACATTACAATCTCGGTGTCATAAATTAATTGTAGTGTGGACCTCACACTAACTTTTGGATTTGATTTAGTCAATTCTTGTTGCACGCTACACACGTTTGACAATAATAATAATGAAAATTACCGCGAGAGTCATATTATAGCCATTTTTGTGATTTTGAAGGTACAATGTGAAAAAATTAATATTTGAATGTGTAAATTAAAAATTTTAAAATCTTTCAAGGTGTAAAGTATAATTTATACTGATTGATAGTCGAACGGGTCTCGAGTCAAGCCTAAAAAGCTCATTTTCTTAGTCGAGCCTGAATATTTACATATAAACGAGTCAAGTTGATCAGACTTATTTTTTAAACGAGTTTAAAAAATTATTCAAGTTCGATTTGTTTAGAAAATGAGTTGAACCTGAACGAGCTAAAAACAAACTGAACCTTAGCCAAACTCAAATAGCTCAGCTCGATTTACAGCCCTATTTACCCATATTATTTTCTTCCAATGAAGAATAAAGGGTAAGTATTTTTGTGATGTTTTCTTTCCCTTATCGGAGGAATTTCATTGATTCAAAGTAAAAAAAATTAAGGATTATGATAGTAGGATTAATCATATTTAGTTTTATTCAGGATCAACATGTCCCAAGTTCNAGCTCGATTTACAGCCCTATTTACCCATATTATTTTCTTCCAATGAAGAATAAAGGGAAAGTATTTTTGTGATGTTTTCTTTCCCTTATCGGAGGAATTTCATTGATTCAAAGTAAAAAAATTAAGGATTATGATAGTAGGATTAATCATATTTAGTTTTATTCAGGATCAACATGTCCCAAGTTTAAAAAATTCGATGACATGCTTTTACTACAAAATATTTCAAAATTGCTCGATTTCGAATCGATTGGATTGGAAGGATCCGGAGCTACAAGGATCTTCAATATCATAACATTGTGAGTTATATGGATATTTTCCAAATATCAGGGGGTTGTCATTGAGAATTTGTCTCCTTGAAAAAGTGAAAAATAAAGATTAGTAAAAATAATCCACCCGGCGAAGTTCGGGCAGGATCCACCCGAGACAATTTTACACTAAAGGCCAGACGGGTCTGATCCGGNGGGGGGGGGGGGATGGTACACAAAACAAATCGTGGGAAATATTGGCTTTTTTCTACTGCACTGCGTCTGCACCCAAATATTTATGTGAGTACATCCAAAGAAACAAAGCAAGTAGACTTTGAGTAATGCTAGAGGTTAGTTATGCGCTTGCTATAACATTTTCTAGCTATCTTCAGTACTTACCTTGTTGATCATCAAAATTGAGTAGAAGCTTTGTGATAACTAGGTGACTATAGTAACTTGCACTGTATCAATGGTGTCACGTTTTCAATTTGAGTTGTGTCCTCCTCTGAATCCAAATGTCCAGCTTTAGGGATAGACTGCCATGGGAATTTCTTTCAAACTTTTGAGACTTGGGACTCTTTGGCATTTTATGGCTTAATAATTTCACATTTAAGTATCTTATGCTAAAAAATTCTATGTGTTGGTCTCCATAAAGGATTTCTCTAGTAAGGCAATAGACTAATCCTTTCACAGGGTGATCGCAGACGATTGCTAGATGTTGGGTTCAATTGCTTTGTTTTAGAACTTCCTTGAATGATTGCAATTGACAGATTCAAGGGAAGAAAAATAATAATCAAGAGATAACAAAAGAAAGATACTGTTATTAATTTTGAAAGGTTTCTAGGTTATAACAGACTAATGAAACAGTCTCTGGAACTTATTCTATTCTAAAGCTAATCTAAAACCACTCCTAGAAATGCCCAAGTCGAAGACTTTGATGGGTTTGATCGTGTTTTCTCTTTTGCAATCAATGCCTCTTTTACAGGATCTCTCCATTGACGCTTACTCTGACTTCTTTGGGTAGTTTCCCCCAGTTCCTCTCTTGTTTTGACTGTTGCTTTTGAGATATTTGGAGCCCATTAAGTATTGATAACTGTTACCTTTTCAAATTCTAGAATAACCGTTTCATTCCCTCCATCATAAAGCTATAATTGTCCTTGAATTTGAACAGGTCACATCGGCTTCTTGTATATCCTTCTTTTGATTAAGTGAATGACACGTGACAATCCTCTTTGGCTGACTTGTTTATTGGGCAGGTGTCATTCATTGCGCATTCACAAGAGTTGTAGAATATGGTCCAAACAATTTGGTTTCAAATTTTCTTTGCTTTTAGATGTGTTTTACCAATACAATATCATGGCTTGTATTAGAAATCAGAAAACACTGTCCCTGATGCAAGTTCTGCTGAAATTTCTTAAACACGTGTCTGTGGGGTATATGGAGTTCTCTATGACCTACATAATCTGATTCTCTGATCATTTTAGTAGTTCAAGGGTCATTCTCTAAATTTGAGGTCCAATGTTTTGGTATGTACTTCAATCAATGTAAACAGGACGATTTTGCTTCGTGTAAACTGGTTCAAGATTTTTATCACATCATTTTAATACACTTATCAGAAAGAAGAAAGAAAGAAGATGTAAGCAATTTATATTAAATTTATGAATATGCCCTACTAACTTTTGTGCAAAGCTACAAACGCAGCAGCAGTTGCAAATATTATTTCTTATGTGTGCAAAATCCTTGCCCAAGTCATTTCAGTACTCCCATATCTACACATGAATGTTATATTCTTGTGAAGCTTTTCTAGATCTAGCCTTTATTCTTTTACCTTTTCTTTGTCTGATCTTTTTTGATGCAAATACTTCATCAGACAGGCCTTTATAGAGGGTCATCTAGGACAGTTAAGCCCGCAGGACGTCATCATGGGTTATCTCAGCAGAAAAGGCAGGAGATCAAAGAAGCATTTGAGCTATTTGACACTGATGGCAGTGGTATTGATATACTATATGCTGCATAAGTATAATTTCATGTTTGTCTTGGAATGTCAATGAACTTATTTCTTTGGCTACCTTTTGCAGGCACTATTGATGCCAAAGAGCTGAATGTTGCTATGAGGTAGGAATATTTTGTCTGAGATATTAAGCTTAGGGGGCTGGGGTGTGTATACTAATGGGGCTGACTTGATTTGTTACAGGGCTCTAGGTTTTGAATTGACAGAAGAGGTAATATCTAAATCTTGATTAATTCCCTGCTTGAGCTTCTGGTTCTATACATATGTGCACATCAATTTTGTCTAATTGGGAATATATGTGATTTGCATCCTGGTTTTATAATATATCTGCACACACACAATACACACGCACCCACTTATATATTTTCTTAGTGCCATTTTTTCTACAGATAACAATACCTCTACAATTTGTTGCTTACGCACCCACTTATTTGCTTTTGTGTAATCATATTCAATGCGTAGTTTTCATTTTCTTTTTGTTTTTCTTTTCCATATTGTTGAAAATATTTTCCCTGGTAGCATGGGTAAATCTCATGTGACTTTCACATTGCAGCAAATTAATCAAATGATTGCCGATGTGGACAAGGATAAGAGTGGAGCAATTGATTTTGATGAATTTGTCCATATGATGACAGCCAAGATTGGTGAAAGGGACACTAAAGAGGAGCTTGCGAAAGCATTCCACATCATTGACCAAGATAAAAATGTGAGTTTTTGCTTATGCTTAATTTGCATTTTTTGGCCTTGTTCATAACTGATTTATGTCTTTTAATTCAGGGAAAGATATCTGTCACAGACATTCGGCGTATTGCCTTGGAGTTGGGAGAAAGTTTTACCGACAGACAGATTCAAGAAATGGTTGAGGAAGCAGACCGTGATCGTAAGTTTGCATCTTTGGTTTTGTTCTAAGCACGTGACATTACATTACCACATTTTAATAGTTCTAGTTTTTGAACATCATTATTAACACCTTGTTGTAACGAAATTTGGTGGTATTCTATTCTCATCTTCTATTTATCAACTTTTTACCATTACCCTATCCTTTCTTTGTCAATGACCTTTTTTTAAACCCATCACAACTAACCTCCTAACGACTTAACCATCCCTAATGCTCCTTTATCACCATGGTCACCTGCAAGGATTGTATATGTTCCCATATATTGAGCAGCCTCACACTAAACCGTCCTCTTGAACTGAATTGTTATCATGCCGGATCCCAAATAAGACGACAGTTCATAATCAATGCAGTATATCTTGTCACTGCTATACCCTCGTCAGCCCCCCGCTGCCATCCACATCCGTACAATTGCAGAAATATCTGTCATTCATGGTAATGGTTATGTTGTTAGCAATGGCGAAAGTTGTTGCACCAAATAAGGCTAGAAAGAAGATTGCTAGGCAGTTGGGGAGCGATATATGTGGTAATCTTTGGTTGTGTTGTTAGCCATCACTTGACTGTAGAGGATGGCTGACAATCCTGGAGATGGGTAATCATGACGTTTTCGTTTACTTGGCTGGGATGTGATCAAGGATGAGGTTAAGCAGTTGGCTACAGGCAGTCATGTCTGATGACATTCGCTGATGAGGGAAAAATTAGTTAGCAGTAATGCACTAACAGTTGCCGGGTTTTGATAATGGAATTGTGCAGCTTCTGGTGGTGGGTAGTGCTGACATTGCCTGAAAAGGAGGCAGCAGTGAGGCTTGTGTTGGAGATAGTTGTCACCAAAGATGCTTATGGTTGGCCAGTACTGGTGTTAGTGGCAAATTAGTTGGCTTATAATTCGTAGGTATCCTGTATTTTGGTGGAGTTGTTACCCTGGCCCCTCCAGAAACTGGCTTCCCCAGAAAAAAAAAAAAAAAGGAAAAAGGGAGCAGGCACAACTAACTCACTATTATAAAGAAGTTATCAAGCTCTCTCGCTTTCATTTGTTGCTTATAGAGCTCAACTTGTCCCATTTGCTTTGTTCTCTTGTCGCATGTCAGTTAATAATTCTGATAACTCTTGGAATGTTTCAGGTGATGGCGAAGTTAATTTTGATGAGTTTCTCCGGATTATGAGGAGAACACCGTACGCGTAGTGGAACTATATTTAAACTTCTGCACCATGTTAATCTCAGCTACTGGGAGATGAGATTGTTCGCATTTCTACGATATGGTTTTGTGTGGTTAATTACTGGGGCACGGAACAAGGTGACTCGGATAATTATGGGTGCCTACCCTGAAATATAAATGGATATTTTACTTAATTTATGTTGATAATGTGTGGATTGTTTTGTACTCTTTAATGTAGTTCTGCCTAAGGTTGTAAGCAAAGGAAGCAGGAAGAACTTTGTTCAACCTCTCCACTTTAATGAGCACCCATGCTATGATTGGCATGAGGCTAATATGAAATATGTGTGATGTCCACATGGTATGTTCTTTTTAATATTTTGAGCAATGTTATTAGGATCTACTTTACTGACTATATTTACTATGACCTCCATCAAAAATTGAAACTTTGTGTTAATCTAATGATTTCACCGAAATCACGTCACTATGTTAACAAATTAAGTTAGATTTTTAAGTTTAAATAGGACTACTCTAATATTTTTGTTCTGTCCTGCATTTTTTAATGTTTTTGTTTGTCAAGAAGGCTGGAAACAACTCTGATTGGACTGGATTATTCACTCTTCACAAAAGATGGGACATGTTTGGCTTGATAAAATAGGTTGATAATCTTGATTATCCACATATGGTAGGTCGGAGGGAAACACGTTACCTCTAATTTTTCTTTCCCTTGTATTTTCCTTTGTAACTAAACAATGGAAAATCTTTCTTTTTATCCCAGTTTCCTTCCCTTATTTTCAATCCATCCAATTTTCCATCAAACTAAACATACTATAAGCACACAATGGTGGAGGAGAAAAAGAAATCTATATGGGTTCTGGTCATCGAAATGGATTTTTGGGCATAAAAAATGTGAATTGGAGAAATAGGTTTGTTCGTAACAGTTCAATGCGTTATATGCTTTTAATCTCTGTTTGAATTGCTTATGGTTTTGGTTGAGCTACTGTGGATTAACAAACAAATTAGTGGTTTGGTTGGTGGTTTTGTCAACACTAATCAGCTCCAATGATTGGCATGAGGCTAGTATGATTTGTTTTAATATTTATGTTCACCAAGGGTGACTCGTGCCCGAAGGCACAATATAATGTAAAAGTGAGAAGTAATAAATTTGAGAGAGGAGAAATTTAATGTGAATGATTTTATGAGAAATGCTGGTGGTCATTAGATGAGTTTATTTGAGACCGTTGGATGAATTTATTGAAGTCTGCCCTGTTTTATTGGCGGCTTCTTTCTTTATCAATTTAAGTAAATATTATATGGACATAATCTAGGGATCTTATTTCATTGTAGTTATTAGATTAGTTGTGTGTTCTAATATCAAATAGAGTTCAATTGTAATTCAACCTTTGCCATTGATTAAGTTGCTAAATTAATTTTCCAAATTAGTTCAAAATAATGGTTTTTCTATCAAGTTGGATGGACAAACTCAACTTCTCAAAAAATAGTTGGTTGGACAACTCTACTTGACAAGAGATGAGGCATCTTTGACTTGATAAATAGGTTGATAACCTTAATTATGAACACAAGTTGATAAAATAGGCTGATAATCTACTAAATGTTAAATTGAGGGGTGAGCACAATTAGTTCTAGAGAAATTTTCCCAATAAAGCATGCATCAAATTGTAGGAAAACATTCTCTAAATTCTAAAGTTTATAAACTAAAAATGCACATCGGATGCAAATCAAATGCAGGTCACGAATCCGGATAGACTAAACTCAATATCCGAAATTTTAAAATTCGAGTCCGGACGCAAATCTTGTATCCGAAAGAACTTAACTTTTTGTTCAAACTTCTAGCCCAGTTTCGACCTAGTTTAGGGTTGATTTACGAAATTTTCATAAGATACACTTTTGTAGAGTTTGAATTCTTTTTTCTAATGTGACAAAAATCAGCTCAATTGGATATCAAGATAAAAAATTATGGCAAAAACACTAAAGTAGTATTAAATTATTTTCTTCCCAAAATTTTTCAACGTGTTTAAACCCCCTTTTTTTCTTCAACTTCAAACATCTAAACCCATCTTACGTGATCTAGAAACACTTGAGATTCACTTTTAATCAATAGCCATTTTTTATCTCATACAGAATTAAGTTCACGAAATACCAAAATTACCATCTTAACCCTTCCGACCAGTACACAAATCGAAAGCATATCCCAAGGTTTTGCGACCTCTTGAATTTAATGGTAACATTATTTTGACGTAAATTTTTTAAAATTTTTACCCAATTACCCTTCTCATCTTTAACGTATCGAAACTAAACTTGACATAAAAGTCAACACGTGCAAAACTCAAATTCATGACTATTCTTTCAACAAATATTCAAAATTTCTATCATTATTCTAATTATTTTAGAAATAGTCTTAAGATCATATTATCTATATTTAATTCTGATATAAGGTCTTATAGTAACAAATCAAACACATTGAATAAATTTAAACACGACATGAATTCATGATGAGATAACACGACTCGTTAACCCTCTAACTAAAAGTACATATTGTATTGTTGTATTATATTTAATTACACATGAATTTGGTGTAGCAATTAACTTTAATTGAGAAACTTAGGAGAGATGATGCCCACCCATCATGTCCGTTGGCATGTCCAATCTTGGAGGTGGGACCCACGATAAATATACCTTAGGTTTGAAGATTTAATGTGTGATATAAGTAAGTAAATAAATAAATAGGTCCCTCCCAATTATTCATGTTACATCAATCAAATGGGGGGCATGAGCATTCTTTCTGAGTACTCCAATCACCTATCCAAACCCAACAGTCTCACAGCTCACACAACTACTTTTTATTATGGGCTCAACGTGATCCTAGTGGTCTGTCTCATAATCTTTGTTACACCTAATTATTATATTTTAAATTGATAAAATAATTCTTAGAATTACCCTCTAATTACCAACTAATCTCAAAACTAACCTCGATCTTAATGGACCAATTTTCCAATTAGTTATCCTAGTGCGAGTGATATGAAATGACTAGCACATGTTTTAGGAGGCTCAGATACCTTGTAATAGTTAAAATTATTATTTCTCATAGGATAATATTTCTCATAAACATTTTGACCAAAAAGAAAAAAATCACAATACAAAGTGATTGATGCTGTTTTTTCTCGTCCTCTCCTTCGGCGAAGGATTGACATGACATTGAATCTCACTGGTGTATAGCGATAACCCCTCCTCCCTCCCTCTTTTTTTTTTTGGCTTTGAACTATTTCAAACATATAATCAATAAACAATTACTCATTTACCCAACAACGAAGATCATAGAGCAAATAAACCCATAATTCACAATAGCTGAACGAAAGATCGGACCTTGAAATTTTCATTTTGCATGGGAACGAGAAAGGTTGGGCCTTAGATCAACACTGCGGTTGTAGTTGCTTTGGAGGGTCCAAACAATGAAAAAATATTAAGTGTAACAATGACATTACAGTGGAGACTTGACCTTGTTCTTGTGAGGGTATATTAGGTTATTCAAGAGAGTTGGCAAGGGCAAATTAGGGAAGATGGAAATCTAGGACAGGCTTAAATTTAAAATTAGAGGGTGTTGGGGCTTTATCAAAAGGGGTTAAAAAGGAATAATCAAATATGGGGCCTTATAAGCCTTAATTGGCGCAGAAGACCTTATCTTTAATCATATCCTTGGTTGAGACATAAACGTCTTCTGTTAATGTGTCAAATTTGGACATTTAGTTGTAATGACTCCATAAACTATATCTAAAGTTGGCCATCTTATTATTCAAAATGAAAACGTATGCCCAAGGCGTGTGGTAAATAATCTTTAAAAATTTTTTTTATAAGATTGATTCTTGAACTCAAATTCACTACGTATCTTTGAATGGATAGTGAAGTTATAGTGAATATACGACTTGAAAAAGGCTTGACAACAAAAAAAAAAAAATATATATATATATATATATATATATATATATATATCTGTAATACCCTATAAATTCAGGATACGTGTCTATCAAGAATTGATAATTTACATGATAGTGCGGACCTAACAGGGTCCAGCAAAATTAGTACGAACAACAGTGACAAAACAATATTCCAGCGTCATGGCAAGCATCAACACCGCGACAGGCACTCAGTGCCCACGATAAAGCCTAGTGTTGTAGAGGGCAGGATACATCCTTGCCACATTGAAAATTGGCAAAACAGACCATTGACCGAGGACAAACAAGAGTGGCACTGAAAATTTTTGGGGGCAATTTTGACGTGACTCACCTCCCTCATTGTGGAGACAAGGCACAAGGCTGGATTGTATATTCGATAGAATTGGTATCCTTAACATGTTGGGTATCGTTGCTCGATTGACCCACTAAACTAAGATGAGGGGTCTCCATCTAGGGACAGGGCAATACGACCCTCTTAAAAGAAGAACTGAGCAACAGGGAGCAGCGCGAACATGATTGCCAATTTTGGCCAAAGGCAGAGTTTCGAAGGTTTAGTTTGCTTGAGTAGGCCTCCTAATGTCTGGCTGGCTCATTACCCATAAGGGTGTGCTTGACTGAGATTCAAAGGAATTACTAAGAGAACTGGGGTCCAAATTAACAAATGGGATAATGGGACATGTGAATTGCTAGCTGAAATACCGAAACTATGAGGGTTCCCCCTATTGGGCACCTTGATGAAAGTTTTGACAAACGATTCAAAGAAAGAAGGGAGGACACTGAGTTGGAGCGCATGGTCCTCTCAAGGTCATGGTCCTGTAGTGACCAGTTGTCATCATTAAATTTGGGAGTCTCCTTTTACCTTGGCTGTCGCAGCCTCCCCGAAGGCTGCGTCTAGACTACGTTTGAGGAAACGTCACATTCGCCTAATTAATATTGAAACACGTAACTCATAGTTAATGGCCACTGGGATCACCATAGTTGAGACAATTGTAGGTTGGCGTGAGTGATAGAAGATCACGGCGGGCAACCTAACTTGCTCAAACACTGTGCAATAAATACCCACATTACTTGCCCTTATATGGAGAGATTGGATTACTACCTGGCTGGTAAGAGTATTTCCTCTATCCATTTATCATATGCTTTACTAGTTGGTCACTTTATTAATAGATTGTTTGAATTCCTTTCATCCAATCCACTTATTTTATACATTTCATTTGATTATCTTTGGTATANCTCTACTAGTTGGTCACTTTATTAATAGATTGTTTGAGTTCCTTTCATCCAATCCACTTATTTTATACATTTCATTTGATTATCTTTGGTATAAACACATATGTCCACCTTTTTTAACTCCTCACCTATAGTATCTTACTCTTGAATGTGAAAACTTGAAGTTGTGAAGTTTCTTACCTACAAAATATGAGAAGAACTAACTAAAATGGAAAATTGAAGTGTACCTTATGAATTGGTATAAATTTAATTTACCTAGGCATAAGAGAAATAATATGAAAACTCGAACTTATGACCAATTAAACCAACTATCCATGTGGTTATCATGAAATTATGATACTAATGCAACGTCACGTATTCGAGTTAAAAAAAATACTCTCTTAATACATTTATATTAAAATATATANCTTATGACCAATTAAACCAACTATCCATGTGGTTATCATGAAATTATGATACTAATGCAACGTCACGTATTCGAGTTAAAAAAAATACTCTCTTAATACATTTATATTAAAATATATATAAATATATATATATATATATATATATATATATAATAAAATAGCTTATAATTCAAATTTCAAAAGATAAACAAAATGGCTTTTACTATTCGCAGTTGAGATCGTTTTAAATTTTACTTTAAATTTAATCTAACGGCTAATATTTACACATTAAATTTAATAGAAAAAATAGAGTCATAAAGATGTGTNAAATATATATATAAAAATAGCTTATAATTCAAATTTCAAAAGATAAACAAAATGGCTTTTACTATTCGCAGTTGAGATCGTTTTAAATTTTACTTTAAATTTAATCTAACGGCTAATATTTACACATTAAATTTAATAGAAAAAATAGAGTCATAAAGATGTGTTTTGAGTAACTTTTTAAAAGTATTTCTAAAAATTATTTCTCATAACTATTTAAAAAAAAAATAGTGGTTGAAACCACCTTACCACTATCTCTACCACCACCACCCCCACCATTATCACCCCCACTGTGGCCACCCGCACCATCATAGTCGCTGCCCTCGTCGTTGCCACCACTACCACCACGATCATTGTCATTCACCACAACCATCACCATCTCTTACCACCACCACTGTCTCCCACCACCTCTCACCCCTACTACAAATCGATATTTAAATTTTTTTATCTCTTTTCTATTTTTGTGATTTAATTTTGGATATAAATACAAATATATTTATTGTTTATTATTTTTTATTACTATGTGCCTTCAGGCAATAATTAGTCTATATAATAAAATAATTTACAATTCAAATCTCAAAAGATAAACAAAATGATTTTNATGGTCATAAAGATGTGTTTTGAATAACTTTTTAAAAGTATTTCTAAAAATTATTTCTCATAACTACTTAAAAAAAATAGTGGTTGAAACCACCTTACCATTATCTCTACCACCCCCACCCCCACCATTATCACCCCCACTGTGGCCGCCCGCACCATCATAGTCGTTGCCCTCGTCGTTGCCACCACTACCACCACGATCATTGTCATTCACCACAACCATCACCGTCTCTTACCACCACCACTGTCTCCCACCACCTCTTACCCCTACTACAAATCAATATTTAAATTTTTTTATCTCTTTTCTATTTTTGTGATTTAATTTTGAATATGAATATAAATATATTTATTGTTTATCATTTTTTATTACTATGTGCCTTCAGACAATAACTAGTCTATATAATAAAATAGTTTACAATTCAAATCTCAAAAGATAAACAAAATAATTTTTGCTATTCGCGGTTGAGATCGTTTTAAATTTTACTTTAAAGTTAATCTAACAGTTAATATTAACATCCTAAATTTAATAGGAAAAATAGGTCCCTAAGGGTGTGTTTGAAGTGATTTTTTAAAAGTACTTTTAAAAATTATTTCTCGTAAATATTTTAAAAAAAATAATATTTGAAATCGCCCCACCACTACCTCTACTCCCACCGCCACC